CAAACACCTCCTTGAAGAATAGCTCCCCATAACCCACTCAGCATCCCACGAGGGAGGTGGTAACGGGCTGGAAATGGCACACCAGTGCTACCAATGCACCTGAAGGGCTTGAAGGCTCAGAGTGGAGCGGGACTGCCAAGAATGGACCTGTCCTTGACATGATACTCACTACTCAAGGAAGCAGCTCGTTTCTTCGTGCCTTACTCAGCTCCACCAAGGAGAGTGGAGATGGATCGCGCAAAGGCCACCTTCCAAGAGGTCATTTCAGTCGAAATGGACGTCCAGATCCTCGGCGCCGGGCGATCCGTTTAGGCATATTCGAAAGCACCCCCAGCATTCTCAGTGCCACTGTGAAGTGAGCGCAAAGTGAAACACATTTTTCGGGACGCTTTTCTGCTGCTGATGGGTTCATTTCATGTAATTCTCTTATAATCTGCCAGGCATTCTATGCCGTAGAGGTTTTCGTGGCGCTGACATTGCAAGTCAGAGGTTCTAGCTCAGGCAGTTCAGTGCTGAGCCAGCCCGAACAGTGTGGTCACACTTGGGGTTCTTACGGCAAGAGTTAAGGCTGGATGTTCACTGGCGTGCGTGGCTATTTCACAGCCAGTTACAGAAAATTCATGCCTCCTGAGACCTTCGACGTGCATTTCGACCGGGCAGGCTCGCGCAAAATGGTGGGCGGGGGTTGGTACTTTCCTCGACTGCGCTCTCGTTGTGGTGCCGTGCACATCTTCGGACTTAGTGGTCACTTTTCATGGCAGGCACGAGAGGATCCTCGTGCTTTGGTGGTCTGAAGTCAACTTCTCGTGGCAGGCACAGGAGATGGCTATATCTTCGATGTACAGATTTCGTGGCAGGCGCAGCGCTTTGGAATTGGTGGTGGCTTTTGGCGTGCATTGGCTTCGTTCCAGGCTCAGTGACTCGAATCGTCACCATTTGGGCGCGCAACCTTCGATTTGGCCTGCGGAAGTGCTTCAGTATGCTTCAGTTATATTTCTTAGAGACTCACTGGCCGGGCTGCGCAGATTGAGTCATGATGTGTAGATTTCGTGGTCGGCGCTGCGCTGTGTGGACCACCAAGTGCAGATTTCACGGCACTCACAGCACTTTTTTGATCTGCCTGCGCAGATTTCGTGACAAGCGCAGCACTTTGTGCTTGTGAGCTTGAAGCGCGGAGTCTGGCAACAGGCCCAGCACTTTATGAACCTCAAAGTGCAAGTGCCGGGGCACGCACAGCACTTTGCGAACCTCAAAGTGCTGATTTTGTGGGAGGTTCCATATACGTGTGCTTTCATGTGTGCGCTCTCATATGTGTGCTCTCAAAACCTCTCATGTATAATGTATTTTCATGTGGCTTTTATATTTGTTTGTTGTTTGCTGTGTTTTTTTGGGGTTGTGTGCTCTCATATGTGTGCTCGCTCATACGTGTGGTTTTATTTATGTCCTGTGTATTCTCATGTGTGTGTGTGCTGTTATGTGCGCGCGTTCTAAAGTGCAAAGCTTCGTTTTTCACCTTTGTTTTGGTCTGCTTCGCACTGTTTGCGGTCTCTTGCCGGGATAATAATAGTTGTTGGATGTTGTTGGTTAATGAGTTGTTTCAGTGGTGCCTCAGGATAGCGATACGAAGTGAGATTGGACAGCTTCAGCAGGTTGTTCAGGAGAGGAATCACGCACACGCCTGTGAAAAACAACATTTCCGGGCGCACTGTTTCTTTACTGGGCGTCAAAAATACAAGACATGTTTGGGTATGTTTTGACCTTTACTGCCAGGACCTGGAGACGCGGATCGAGACCAAAATGTTGGAAATTGACCGCTTAGAGCAACTTCGCTGTTGTTTGCGGAACTGCTGGGTGCGATCCCTTGGTGTTTCAAGTGCGTTGAGAGGCGAAGAGTGAAGATTGAATCCACAGTTTGCCCTTCCACAGTGACCGCCCAGCCGGTCCTTCCAAATCGCCCAGCGTTTGTACGTATCTAGTTGTTGTGATGATTCCGGGACATAGAAATAGATAGATTTGGTGAACTGAGCTTTGTACGGATGAGGTGATCGGATTCTGCGGTGGGGAGTTGGTTAAGTTTGAAGCCATTGTCCGATCAATGTTGGCCTCGTGATGTCTCGACGACGCAAAACACTGGAACGGAACGGTGGAACAGTTTTGTTTTTCCTGTATCCTTTGATCCAATTTCAGGAGGGCAACCCCGCTACTGAAACCCCCGTTCTATGTGAAAAAAGAGTGCGAGACAAACAACTGCAAACAGATATTGGCGGCCAACCCTTTTTGCGATTTGGCAGTGAGTTATATAAGCACATAGTTGGTCCACTCAGTTGAGTATCAAAGCATGCACCCTTTTTGTACATGGCAAGAAAGACCACGTGTGGTCTCGTGATGTTTTGTGGTCATTTTAGGTTTCACATGGTTTCACTTTACAGTGTAAGTCTCATCAGTTTCGGCATTGTTGCACATGTTGAAGGCAAGCGAACACCTGGGCCAGATCAGAGGCGAACTCGCGGGATACAGGATCCGTGTTTGATGCCACGGTTGTTGTCCACTGATTTACCGGAAGTATGATGTATGCCGATGTTTTTATATGTGTCCATGGCTAATTGTGTAGATGTATTTACACAATCAGCAAAGTTTTGTCATGCATAGCAATGGGACATGACGTGCAGACCTTGTTTGGTTTTGCAGAATGTTTTCGAGTAAAGCCCATGGATAGTGTCCGAGCATTGTCTAAGTCTTAGTGGTTCTACTAGTTGGGCTCATTTTGTCGTGTGCTGTGGTGCCATACATCCCGCATACCCTGACCCATTCATTGGGTTTTCCATTAGCTGGGCCCAATTGCAATCATTTCTCAAGGATTCACCCAAAGAACAAGCTTCGACACATGAGTTTCGACAAGCGAGCATTGGCAACCAAATCTCAGAAGTAAATGAGCCTGTGAGGCAGAAGCCAAGTGCATGGGTGCTTTTAGCGGAGTATTTTTCCAGTGGCTTTAATGCCCGAAAGAAATAGATATTACTACTGCATATCACACTTCCTACTTCCTTCAGGTGTACCAGCACTCAGGCAGGCACCTACCAAGGTTCCGGGGAAAATATCTTTGGATCATCAAGTACACCATTGCGATCATGTGTGATGCAAGCACTCATCCAATGCAACACGCGGTTAAACCAACAGTCCCCAGACATGTCTCCATATCCCACATATGTCCAAGGAAAACATCATCCTTACGACCAGGTCTTTGCCTCTGGGACCCGTTGGCGACAGCAACTGCTTTGGCGCCAGCAGCAGATTCGAATGGGCCGCAAGGGCGCTGTGACGACAGAGTCGCTGAGCCGCTTCCCGGGGCGCCAGAAGGGGGCAAATTTCCTGGACGGGCTGGGCGGTGGATAGTAGGTTTGGGGGACTTAGTTGGAACCAGTATGTATGTTACGACACGCCCAATGCTGCTGGACTTGTGAAGATGTTCAGTTAGCTAATGGAGCACTCACTCGCATCACAGCCTTCGGGGTAAATGCAGGGAAAGCAAGCAAGCAAGCAAGCCAAGCAAGCTAGCAAACTATAGTGGCCATTTGCAGATATTTGCAGTACTTTATCCATTGCTTGCCATCAATGAAGATAAGTGGACAATAAGTAGAGGGGAAACCGTGGGTCCAATCCTTAATAGATTTGCATCATCGCTTGATTGTTGGTCCCGTCCGGTCCTTTTGCATTCAGAGACTTTCTTTGTCGATGGTATGATGGGCAAATGGCGAAGATGGGCATCACCACCGATCTCGTGTAAAGACCAGGACGCGGCTATTGTCCCCAGAGAATATGTCACGAACCAAATTGACAGACATTCTTCCTGCGCGTACTCCCATCAACCTGGCAGAAGAATTTGGGTAGTGTATTTACTTTTGTTCACCCAAGACTGGTGTGCTTTTCTTTTCGCTGTTGGGTCCTTGTGGCTCATGGCCTTCCTTCGCTTAGGCACACCAGTCAGGAAGCAGAAACATTAAGGCCATGCCGGGTTGGATGGGTTGGGTAGTCAGACAGAATGAGAAAATGCTGGGAAGATGTCGTCTGAGCGTTCTTTTCCGCATCGCTGGCAGGTTAATGGGATTTTGCCTGGGTGCATTGGAAGATGACTGCGAAGAGCCGACAACTAGCGGAAAGGTTAGCGGAAAAAGGCTCCGAAACGATCATGGCTAATGTTGAAAACGTCTCACAAGCAAAAAGCTTCCAAAAGGCTTGAATGTTAAGACCAGGTCCAGCTTTCGTCGGTCAAGCACAAGCGGAGCAAATCATGGTTTCAATGATCCCCACACGCACGTAAGGCCCGCGCTCATTGTCGAAGTCCATGGCGAGTTGTGAGGTACGCATCAAGCAGCATCATGCAGAAAAAGTTTGCACCAGTGGTGCTCAAAGTACTAGAATCATCTAGAACCTAGAGCGAAGGTCTTCTGAGCAGAGTTGCATGTGACCATTCTTGAATCTCAAACGAAGTGCCAGCCTGCTGCTGCTGCTGCTGTTGTTGTTGTTGCTGCTCCCAAGTTAAGAAGGGTCTGAGGGTAGAATTGCCCAGGTGATAGTTGATAGTGATGATTGGGGCTTGTTGGTAGGCTGCGAAGGTTCTTCAGTTTTATGTGATCAAAGAATGACACATGCTGGTGAGATGCATGTTCCACTCAAGGAAGTTGATGTAGGTTGAAGATCCGCGCCATGAATCATTTTGGAGATCTGGAGAGACCCCCCTGTGACCCAGTGGGACTTTCCATGAATCAGATTTTCGTACAGACCCCAAGTGCACTACTGGCTTCACTTCAACCCATATTGTCACAGCTGTGCAGGTGGTCCCAAAACACGCTAGACCTGGCAGCCTTGGCACTGGATGATCACCATCAACTTCCATTGACATGAAGCATCACTGGCCCAAGCACTGAAAGAAGAATTCACTGATCACATCCCGAGGGCAGATGGTTTTTTCTCCCACGAGGGCAGATGTTTCCGCCATCGCTCTTAGGTTGGAGGCCATTGCTCATTTGTGTTCTTCCAGCAATCAAACTTGTCAGCAGCTCCGTCATCGCCATGGTAGCATTTGCGCACTTGCTTGCTGTTGCAGCACCTGTGTTTGTCATTGCTAGTTTGGCTATGCCTGCAGGGATAGGAGGCAGCTGATTTGCACAGAAAGCAGCCCTCGAATGATGTGATTGGTGCATTAGAGGTGTGTGAAGAATCATATCCTGGGCCTGGGTCACCAGGTTACCGTGTCCTTGAAAGTCTGGAGTTGTGTAAAGGCAAGGCTGAGAAATGATAATATCATCACCTTAAAACGTAAAGCAATTTAAACATTGAACGAGGTGGAATGCTCTATGTGCCACTGCTCATTGTGACCCACATCGCAGACCCACGCTTGGCTGCAGTCCTTGCACAGCCCATCATCGTCGGCGCCGCTCTGGCTGGACACTTGGATCCAGAGTCCCGAGCTCCGTGCAGATTGTTGGTATCAAGGATGTGTGTGTGTGTATCACATTCTGGCATTCTGGTGTTTCCAACTGCCCTAAAAAGCAACTCAATGATACTCAATGAGTTGATATGAACTACTGGTCTCAAAATATGTTTGTAGAAAGACAGAGGTCGTCTCTTTCATAGTTATGTGGGTTGGACCAGCAGTCTGAAAGTCTTGTGGTTTGCTGCGGCTATGATATGTCAATTTCTCCGTCTTTTGCACACATGCCTTTCCAAGGAAACTCCTTCAATATCGCCTGGCAGTTCCGACACAAAGAGCAAAAGTTGCTGGATGGGCATTTGGCATTGGCAATGATAGCGCCCTGCCTGGCTGGCAATTTGGTTGGATCCATTATGAACCAACTGCTGCCCGCTTTGGTCGAAGAGATTTAGATGTTTTGGCACGTTGTTTGGTTCCTGCAGCTATGGAAAATGATATGTTTTGTGGTAAGGAGTTGACTGCTTTGGTCTTAGGTGCTCTAATAAAAGTCAATTCAAGGTTGCCATCAGCTATCATTATGATTTTGCTCTTGCTACTCGCCGGAAGTACCTTCCAAAGTTCCGCTAGAAGGGCTTTGAAGATGTGGAAAGCAGAGAATGCTGTGCGTTCAGATGCTTCGAGAAATGGACAAGCAGACGTTGTAAGAGCCCCACCTGCTGTAGTTGGGAGAGAGGTGGAGTTGCCTGCTGCATCGGAGACAGTTCCTGAAAGCACGAGCACATCAGAGGGCAATGAGGAGTGCGATGATGACACTCCTTACACTCATGTCTCTTTCTTCTCCGATTCCATGACTTCTCAGAGTGACCGAACTTTGACAAGGAGACGCCCATCTACCCTGCCCCTGCCGGGCAATGTCGTGTCGACCGATGTCTCTCAAGATCCGAAAAGTCCATGGGATGCTTGCAGACTTTGGGGCAAGTTCATTTTGGTATGGATTTGCATGATCCTAGTCGTGGCGATGCGCGGTGGCTCTGGGCATTCCATCATTTCGATCACAAGCTGCTCGTGGCAGTATTGGTTGGTGACAGCCACTGGCTTTTTTCTCCTCATGTTGGTCGGTGCATTGACTCGCCAGCCTGACACCAGCTTTTGTTCATGCCAAATTTTGCATGTTTATTCAGTTTACCCTCATAGAAGCGCAAAGAGAAACGCACGCATCTACCGATCCTTTGTCCGTCGGGTGAAAGCCGGGTGTTTCCAATGTTTAGGAAGCTCCGTGGTATATTTGTGTGGTCATCGGAGCCCTTAGCGCTGTGGTGGGCATTGGTGGAGCCATCGTGCTCAATCCCATGATGGTCAAGAGGGGCATCGAGGTGCAAGCGGCCACGGCCACAGCATCGTTGATGGTCTTGGACACTTTGCCCGTCTTTAAGATGTTGTTGGCCGTTCATTTCGGGGGTTCGGCCGTGTGAGGGGAGGTGACTAAGTAGAAAGATCGGTAAAAGGAGCTCCCACGGAAGCTTCTTCCCCATGAGCCTCCATTGTGCAGCAAATTATTTGCTTCGACAACATGTTTGCTCGCGCAGTATCACCATAGAAGGGGAGAAGCATTCGAGATGTCATAGGATTCGCGTGGAAATAAATCCCATCAAAGTATCTGAGTTTGTTGTGGTTTGCGCATGGTTGCTTTCTTTTGCAATATGTTAGCTTTTTTTGTCATTTCTTCAACTTGCAAAACTTGAAGTGTTTTGCCATCGCTAGTAAGTTGGAGGCCATCACTATTAGGTTGGAGGCCATCACTATTGGGTTGGAATTTGCATTAGTAGGTGATGAGCACTTGCAGCACCTCGCTCTTTCTGCTGGGTGGATTTGTTCCACCTTTGCCCGCCGTCACCTTGGGCGTGGCAGCTTTCCTGGGTTCGATGTGCGGGAAGACGGTGGTGAGCTACCTGGTGAGCCACACAGGGCGCACGTCCGAGTCTTGGAGACCGTTCTGAGCGCAGCGCAATTTGTGCTGTTCACAATGGCTGGATTGCAATTTGTTTGGATCCTGGTTTGCCTTGTCTTCACTCTTCGATTTCTTGGCCGCCAATATTTGCCTCTTCCTGCAACTTAGTCCAGTCTCATAGCTGCTCAATCCAAGCCTGACAGTTGCGCCGTCATTCTTTCCTTCTCGTTTGAGTGAATGGGAGAGAATGTTGTGCAATGCATAAATTGATATAAATTGGTTGCTCAATCACCGCTTTTCCATACTCTTCCCTTTGATTGCATTTTGCAATCCAACCCAGCTATACCCGGCCAGTATTCTTCCGCGTGCTGCTTTTGCCACTGCATTTTTGTTGATGCTTCGCTGGTACCTCTCACAACCTATGCACAAAGTTCAGATCACCAGAAGCACAAAGTTGCAGAACATGCCCCTTTGCAAACAAAAGGCCCCATGTGCAGCAGACAAGCCAGTCAGGAGCCAACTAGCCACCATCAGGCCAGCTGCAGCCTCACGCCACCATATTTCGTGCAAACCCCTTGATGTATTATGCAGAATGAGCATGCAGTCATACTCAGCTCACCAAATTCAAGCTTGTTTTGTGCAGTTTGGATTGGCGAGTGGAATAAAATAGAAAAAGCATCCAGAATCCACAAATCAACAGCATGCCAGTGCTAGGCCCTCTTAGTATCGAATCCTGTTGGTTGAGCTATTTTGTCATTGGCACTCCGTTTGTCCACTCTGGGCTGCCAAAACGTCTTCAGGTCCCTCCTTGTCATCTTGCTGGCCTTTTTCATAGCAGTGTCTGGCACAACGGTGTTGGTGCAGGGGTCAATCGAAAGCATCAATGAGTTCAGGGCCGGAGAGAATCCATTGACTGAATTCCATACGCCTTGCTAGCTTTGGCTGAAATGCGGATTGATCTTAGACGCAGCTTCGTGAGTATGTATGCTTGTTCAGGAGGGTTTTCTGACAATGGCAAATGCAGGAAAGAGACCTAGATATTGAGGAATATGGCGTGACGAGAATTGGTGCTTCGCCGGTTTCAACCCCCGCTTGATTTAGAAAGGTCTTACTGTAGATCTAAATCAAACCGCAATGTCAGCGCCTCTTGATTTGTACAGACACCTCCCTCCCCGCCCTCGAAGCACTTGTGTACAGTTTTAAGAAGGCTTGAAGAGGATGTTGCTGTGAGGCTAGGTTAAGCTTTGTGCACTTGCATGGAGAAGCGTGCTTCCGATTGTGGCTGGACATGTGACGATGTATTTTTTTTACCATCCATTGTCCATAGAGATTCATGTGTTGATTCATGTGCTTTTGGAATGGATCGCTTCAACTGCGGCTTCACAGAAGTTGAGCCGCACAGAGTACAATAACAGGAGGACAAGAAAGCAACATTCGAGCAACGTTTCTATTGACATGTAAAGGTCTATATGAAAGTGGAACTGCATCACAGCCGCGAATTCAAGCGCGAAGGCATACGAAGCCAAACTGCATATTCCCCACAGGTCTTCGCGAAGGCAACTTGCATAAACAATCTATTGTTATGACTTGGACGTTCTTGGGTTCAGGATTTTGTGCATTTATCATTGGGAATAATTGATAATTACCTCGATTATTTTGGATTTATTTTATTGATATTAATTTTTTCTAAAATTATTTTAATTTTAATAATAAATCTATATTGATGGATCCGAAAAAATATTTAATTTAATTTGTTTATTAATATTAATGAAATTTAGTTTAAAAGATATATTGAATTATGTTTTGTTAAAATAAATAAATAATTCGTATATTTAAATCTAAATAATGTTAAAATAAAATATATATATTTTTTTGATATAATAATGATAATAATATATAATTATTTAAAAAATATATAATTAAATTATTATTATTGTTATATTATAATGAATATTAAAGATTACAATGATATAAATTTTATTATAATGAATATAATAATTTATTGATAATTTTTTAAACATATATTTAAATTAATATAATATATGTTTATATATAATATTTTTTAAATGTTATTTTAGCTTCGAATTTCGATAGCTATTTTTTTGTAATTATTTTCGTTATATTTATTTTATATTTTGATTACTATATTATAGATGTTAGTTTTTCTTTGGTTATATATTTTCTTGATAAGCTTGAGGTTGATTTATTTGATCTTAAATTTAGGGTTTATGGATGCTAATGGTTCCGTTTTTTTATCTCGATTAGGACCATGGGTGGGGTGGGGGTTGTCCGGGATTTTTTATTCCCGGATGAAAATGAATTTTTATCCTTCACTCCACCGTAGTGCTTTTCTACGAAGCTATTAGAAGTATGGGACATGGCTATACGCCATAGCGCAAAGGCTACGGATGTGCTTTGGCGCCTTAAAGAGGCTTATCGATGTTACTCACGTTAGATGGTGCAGAAGCAGACACCACAAACGATTCCTGGCATTCGTTGCATGACCTGGAATACATCGAAATCCTTGGTGCATGATGAATTTTTGCATTGGTGCAATTCTTAGCCCCTGGACATCATAGCCTTGTAGGAAATTGGTTGGATTTTCAATGTCACCTGAACGACTTAGGGTTGGCATTGTGTTCACTCCT